CTATGGCTGGTATTCTATGAACTATAATTTCGTGTATTAGACGCTATTAACGCAGTATGCTGGCTCACTTCGACCTGATCCGCTTGCTCTGTGTACCTTGGAGGCACAAGAAGCCACAGCGAAGGGTGCGTATCGACTCCCGCATGCTATCTACTACTGTAGCTAGCCAGTGTCAGACTCTCCGCAAGCTACTAGCGGGAGACCGCGAGTAAACGCCAATCGCCCCAGCCCATCCATTAGCGGTACCGTGCATGCGCAGTTCGCTTTAGTGCTTTTCATTATGGCTATGGTAATGACAACGTTTTTCGTGTTTGGTAGTGTGGCTATACGTATTGAAATCACACTTAGGTCCTAAAAACTTAGTAAGAAAAGATATAAAGTGCAAACCTTTGGCCCACTAGAAAGTAATCGCATGTTCTAGTGAGTTGATGGGCTGGGTCACGCTGAAGATAAATGCATGGTTTCTCGCTAGGAGTCTATTTAGATAGATTATCACTGTAACTTCTGGGTCACCACAGGGTGAAGTAAACTAGCATATTGGCTTGTCCATAACTTTTGTATGCAGTATTGTACCTAAAATTGCTAGCATTAAATTGTAGTCCTGAATCCCGTTTGTATTGCTACTTGGCAGCTTTGTTTGACACTGTGTCAGAAAATGTTGGAACAGACAGAAAGACAGACAGACACACTGACTGACTAGCCAACTGACTGACTGACTGACTGACTGACTGAGAGGTACAGGGGGTTAAGATCCTGGATCGCGGGGTCAGTTTATCGCAGAGTCATGTACACATATTGTGTCTCTTGCGGGAGAGAGTACATTTTTTTGCACGAGCTATCCTAGCCTATTTACAACTTGCACGTTGGAACGAAGAATATTGGAAAGAGATACAGGCTTGGTCAGGCATGGAAGAGCGTAGTGAATGGTGCCCAAGGATGAGAGTTCTCTCGCTGGCTTGATCATGCATGAGGAGGCAGTGTGGAAAAACTTTGAAATCATTTCGGATAAAGAATCCAAACGCAAGCATAGTTGAACGACGCACGGACGTATAGAAAAATCGCGCCGTTCAGACAACTAGGTTAGCTCGCTTCTGCTCGCCAATACATTTCTCGGTTAAAGTCTGGATACAAAATTACTTGGTTGGGTTCAGTTTCAAGTTTGTCTCAGCTTGAATACAACACACTGTACCTTAGTATTCCAGTGTTAGTGACCTGGTTTGACCCTAATATGTCCAACAGCTCAATATCAGAACAAAATGTAGCTATGCTGTTAAGATAGGTGTCATCAATAATTCTGAAAGACAATGAAAAATAATTATAATTATTAAAAGGGAAGGTGAAATAGGATTCTACCTAGAAGGTAAATATAGGCATAGTCTGAGGAATCACATGAACTGAGGAAATACTAAATCTGCAAAGAATTCGGGACGGGCTGCAACAAAAGTCTCAGTAAGGAGAGGGCATACCCATCCCAATCATAGACTATCTGGAAGGAAAACATGGCCATTTGCATGGCATAGTCAAACTTAAAAAGCTAATCACTCTGAGTTGGGCTCAACGAAGGTACAAACAACACTTGTAGGAATGCAAAAGCGAAGAAATGCCGTTATGTGGAGACATCCCTCGGCACCTTTGTGGGTGTGGCGCACTATTCAGCGCCGGCATCCATGAAGTGCATCTCAAGTTCGGCACTGCAAACGGCTTTACCGCGCCTTGACCTAGCCGAATCCGCCCTATGTAGGCCTTAGCTGATCTAGTCTAGCCCTAGGCTATATGTTGCCGACCTAGCCTAGCCTTTAAACCTAGACCTACCCGACCTAGCTTAGGCACAGACCTAGGCGACCTAGCCTGGACATAAGTCCTACGGGTATGCGCACAAACTGTAGGATGGCACGCACTAATTACCAAGGCATGCGCTGTGATACTAGTCCACCATACACAAGCATTAAATTTTGTGTGTGCTAATGCTATAGCGAAATGCTGCCAACTACTCTGAATGGGCCGCCGTACGGCTGTTACGAACATCGTCATTGCATACAAACACATGGGTGCAGGTGGCTAGATCCTTGCTGACGTAAGTGTTGTGCTGTGACTGTTTGCGAACTGGAACCGCCCTTAGCTCTCGCATTGCCGTCTTGTGTGTGGTGAGTAATGTATGTGGTCACTCAATAGCATCGGTGGAGTCGTGCTGAAAGAACTCTCCAGGTAGTCGCAAAGTTGTGCGGTACACAAGTTTTGCCGCACTGCACTGCAGATCAGTCTTGAGGGCAGTGCGAATGCCAAGTAGGACCAATGGAAGCCGTTCTGTCCAGTGCAGTGAAGGCGTGTGTGCTCGGAGGGCTGCCTTGAGCTGTCTGTGAAAATGCTCGATGATCCCGTTGCCAATTGGGTGATAGGCAGTAGTGTGGAGATGTTTACAGCCCAGCAGCTGGAGAAGTTGGGGCCAAAGTCGGGATTCAAACTGTCATCCTCGATCTGTAGTGATGGTGGACAGTACCCCAAATCGTGCGATCCACCCAGAGGTCAATGTGCAGGCCACTGTTTTAGCAGCAATATCAGCCTTGGGGAATGCCTCTGGCCACCGAGTAAAACGATCGATGCAGGTCAGCAAGTAGGTCTGTCCCTCTGATGGAGGAAGGGGCCCCACGATGTCAATGTGGATCTGATCAAATCGTGTGTCTGAGGTGGAGAGCGGGGTATTAGTGTGCTGGTGTACCTTAGATCGTTGACAAGGGAGACAAGTACGTGCCCAGACCTTGATGTCATTCTTCATTCCTGGTCAAACAAACCGCTTCGCAATGAGCTGTTGTGTCGCCTGCACTCCCGAGTGTGAGAGGGAGTGTAGGGCTGTGAACACCGTACGACGAAGTGGTGCAGGAATGAATCGACGAGGCGATCCAGTACTCATGTCGCAGGTAATAGTAGAGGACGAGGCCGGAAGTGGGAGGGCCGTCAGTCAGAGGGACGTTTACGAGGAGTTTAGAAGTGCCCAGAGTTCTGCATCTTCGGTCTGGGCCTGTGCCAAAATTTTGGAGATCCACTGGTGACGACTGTGTGCTATGAACAGTTGCTTGTAACTGGCTTTCCCCTTAGTGAATAGCCATGAGAGTTACGCTCATCTAAACCAGACTCATCGACAAATACAAGCATGTCTTTGTCATAGATCGATATATCGGAAAAAAACTGCGACCGCAATAGCTCATCTCTTTGTAATGCTGCAAATTTCACTTTTTGTCTGGTGTACCCAACTCTGCTCAGAAGCTTACATATGGAGGAACAGCTAACATCAGCCCCACTCAATTCAAAAGATATGCATTTGGATTTCACTTAGATATATTCCAGGGTGCTCAACAACTATCATTAGCTCAAGTGGCGTAGTAAACTTTCGATAAACTTGCTGTTTAGGATAATCTTTCTTGTCAACGCTTCCCGTCTCCCAGAAACAATTTTTCCTGACAGACACTTTGGGACTTAGTCATTTTTCGTTGCAGCACGTTTAGATAGACGCATGCGCTGCGTTTAGCTAAAAGGGCATTACTTTAGCTAAAACCCCATGCATTTAGCATTGTTTGTCGATGTTACATAAATGAACAAGATTATAGTAAACACTCCATGACTTCAACATCCGTTGTCTTGGCCAAAGGTGCATGCTATCTAGCTAGCTAGCTCGCTCCATTTCTCTCTGCTCATGCGTGATCAATCACCAACGACACGAGACTCTGCCCCTCGGCGCGCATGCGCAGCGAGGGTACAGTAGTTGGGTCTGTCTGTTACTCTACATCTCACTCCTCGAACGTCTGTTCGTCCCAGAAACGATACCATCTACCCAACGGGCGACGAAGGTCAGAAACTAAGCGGTTTTCTCTGAAAATCCTCCGTTGCAAAGCTAGAGCGCGAAAAAGCCAATATGCAAATTACCACAGTCGGGTCGATCCGCGTGATCTGCGTACTTCGGAGGCACCAGAAGATGCAACGCAGGGCGTGTATCGCCTCTCGCATGCTATCTAGTAGTGTAGTTAGCCCGCGTCAGACTCTGCGCGGGCTGGCAAGAGACCACGAGTAACTGCTAAAACTAAACCCAGCCCATCAATTAGTGGTACGGCGCATGCGTTTACTTACGCGTGCGCGTCACAGTGCGCCGAGGGGGTTTGCACTTCAGTGCTTTTCATTGGCTAAGTGTCGGCGCTGGGTGTAATGTGATATAGTAAATTTCGGCAACGGATGCAAGATCTGTGGGGTCCCTGAATGTCATGCGGCTTTTGCTAAAGTCATGCGGTGTTCAGCTAAAGTCGTGTGACGATTGCTAGAATAACACGAGGTTTAGCTAAACTCTCGCGATATTTACGTAAATTCACGCGACGTTTAGGCTTGATCCAAAAATATAGTTCTGAGACAAACGACACTCATAACAATTTGCAGCCACAGCTGTCTCTCGAGCAGCAGCAGGCATGTCTTCCTCTAGATTTCGGAGTTGTACCTACCTACCTACCGTGTAAGTTTACTTCTGTGTGTGTGTTTTTCAGGGTCAGCCGCTCGGTCGCGCCTTTTGAAGATTATCCAAGGACAACTTATCCTTACGGAATTGTTCCCTTTTAAGCCTCAAGGGTTTAGTACACAATGCAGCCACCTACTCTACAAATGCGCAAGTACCACACTACAACTGCTTGTCCGCATTATCAACCCCGAGCAAAAGAGACTACGATCTGGCATGATGTGCATAAGAAATTTGAGCATGTAGCCCAGTTAAAAATGAAGCTGGTGGCAGATTATGAGGAAAAACTACCTCCCGTCACTGATTTGGAGTGTGGTCATTTTCACAAACGGTCTAAGCGTTGGATAGAGAGTGCTCACGATCTTGAGGCCATGTACAAGTTATTTGCAGTAAATGATGAATAATGATTTGGTGTGAAGGGCACTTCAAAGGAGCAAGCAGCTGTGTGGGCGTAAGCAAAAAGCTGAAGAAACTGAACCATCTACCAAACCTGATAAAATCGATGAGCTAGCACACGACCTGTACCAAAAACAAGGAGAAGCATACAGCATGCCTCAATTCCGTCTCTGGGCAAGAATGTTGCTCAATAAGCAATATAAGAAGGCCCCTCCATACCCACCATTTGAAGAAAAGACACCCAAGACTCGCATGCAGGATAACTCCTTGAGCAATGCACTCACTCACCTCTGCCGCTACAGCTGTAGTTGGACTACTGCATGGCGATTCTGGGGCAACAAGTACTGCCATGTCTCCAGGGAAACGCGCCCATGTCTCTGGTTACCTAGAACAGAAGTTCTCTGTGCTGATGAATTCGATGAGCAGAAAAAGGTTTGCGTTGGATAACATAAGAAGATAAATTCGCAGTAACACAATAAAACTCTGTAGACTTGTATGTAACACTATCAACATGTTATGCATCCACAATCGCTCATCCATCCCTGGCAATCATCTGTTGTAACGCTGACAATATGAGTCCCTCAATCTCTCTATCATGATGAATAGACACTAGTTGGTCGAACTCCTCATATAGCTCTTAACTTTGAAAAACACTCCTCAATTGGCATGACGTCTGGTGAATATGGAGGTAAAAAGACAGGTAGACCACCAGCTGCATTTATTGGGCCATTACAGGCTCAACATGATTCACATTTCCAAAAGAGATGTACACATCAATAATTAACCCTCGGCGCGCATGCGCAGCGAGGGTTACTGTAGTTGGGTCTGCCTGTGTGTCTGTCTGTCTGGTACTCTCAATCTCACTTCTCGGGTGTTTGTTCGTCTCACAAAGGATACGACCTACTTAACGGGCAATGGAGGTCAGAAAGCCCGAACGGTTTTCTCTGAAACTGCTCCGTTGCAAAGCTAGAGCGCGAAAAAGGCAATACGCAAATATGCAACGGACGGGATAGCTACCGCGGTCTGATTGATCCGTGTGCTCTGCGTACCGGAGGCACCAGAAGATGCAACGCAGGGCGTGGATCACCTCTCTAGTAGTGTAGTTAGCCCGCGTCAGACTCTGCGCGAGCCTGCAAGAGACCACGAGCAACAGCCAAAATTAAACCCTGCCCATCAATTAGTGGTACGGCGCATGCGTTTACTTACGCGTGCGCGTCACAATGCGCCGAAGGTTTGCACTTCAGTGCTTTTCATTATACCATCAATGCACATAGCTGCTATAGTTGAGAACTGTCCCCCCCCCTCCCCCCCCCCTAGCAGTCGGTCAGTGACTGCACGTGTTCCTTTAAACGAATGCCCATATTTATGCAGTGCCGTCCGTTTGTCCGTACCGGTTTCATCGATGAAGATGAGCATGTGTGGTTTGAACGAGATATATAAAATGAAATTTGCACGGAGCTCATCATATCGTTGTAGAGCTCGAAAAGACAATTTCTTGTATGTGAATTCCTGTTTTTGTAAAAATCTGCATATTGTAGCTGCACTGACATTAGTACTTGTCGATTGTGAGAGAGCACTCTCACCCATTGTAGGTACATTGAAGGATGCTCCAATACTAGCTCCAGAATAACCATCTCATCATGAGCACTCAATTGTTTGTTGAGTGGTTCATGGCATCCCTGTATGCTACTCACTGTGCCTGTGCCTTCAAACAGTTTCACTGGTCGTTGCACAGCTGATGGGTCGACACGGAGCTTTTTACCAATTGCACGGTAAATACGCACCTCTGATAGACCATTCTCCATCTAAGATCCCTTGAGGCTTGTAGGCGTCAAAAGAAAGAGAACTGTGCGTAAGGCCCAGGCTAGGAAGAAAAGACACCCAATGTCAGAAATAGGTCTTCCAAAGCTCCAGGACAAGAAGAGTGGCTTGAGGCAAGCTGAGAGCAGTAGCTATTGACCCAGGGATAATTGATGTACACAGGTCAGGAGGGAGAGAGAAAGAACCGATCTTTGTCCGGTTGGTTGTTTCTCTTTCCCTCCTGACCTGATTGTCTGTGGGTCATCATCTACCAGGAAGAATTTTCGAACATTTGATATTCTCTGCAGGCCAACCCTTGATTTGAGTTTTCCTCCTAATTTTGCACTTTAACTTCCTTTACTCCCCCTTTTCTTCCCCCCTTTCCCCCATCAATAGAGAAGATTGCTCCTGACATTTTTTACGCAGACACATACTTGCCGAGGGTTAAAATCACATAAATATTCTACTGCCTCCCAAGCAAGGAAAATTGGTAAAATTCGTCTAATAAATATAGGCACGAGGCAAAAAAACATTTTTGCCGTCTATATAAAGTGGAAGAGACTTCTTGTTTAAGTCATAATATTGTAGTTTTATCGATGATGTGGGCTGGATTAGCCACCTTGCTGATCTGACAGTGAAAGCAGGTATGAATGGCTTACAAGATGATATCGATCAGGTATTTATGTACGTTCTATATGGCGTCTATTACAGCAGCAAGAGAACAAAGGGGTTTCAAGACAACTGGAGAGATAATATGTTTGCTACAGAGCCAGATATTATAAACAAACACTATCCTACACGTTGGCTTAGTCTTTTTTTGCAGATTATCTCAATCTGCTACTTCTCTTCTTGTAACGAAACCATGCAAAAATTTCAGAGCGGCCTCTTATCAAAAGTCCCATCTTCAATTTGTACACTTTAAACGCATTGTCTATATATAGGTTAGATGCTGAGTCCAGGAAACTACGCGAATTAGAGAGCCGCGGGGGCCCTGAGCAGTAGGCGTTCGAGCGCAGCGAGGACGCTACTAAAGGGCCCCCAAGGCGCTCTAATGCGCGTAGTTTCCATGACAAGGCGTCTAACTGGTTAAGAGCTATGGTAACGCGTTCATTCAAACTAAACGCACGTTGGAGAAATGGCGACAGGCTTCGATATTTTCTGAGAGACTATCCGCGACTGGTTCTTCGACAACGATGAGGCTAAGCCTGTGTCTCTTTTCCTAGCAGTGAGCGACGACTATGAGTCCTCACTAGACCCCGCCTAACAGCCAAGTTGCCGGCCACTCCCACTCCCACTTTGTTCCTACAAAGGGTGATGGCAACGCATGGCTAAATGCGCATTGGAGAAATGGCAACAGGCTTCGATATCTTTGGAGAGACACGAGCTGCTCTTGCCACTTTCAACTTCAAGAGTAGCTTAGTCTCAGCAAACTAAACGGCAAAGCACACGTGCGGATGGGCGATAATTAGAGTCAGGCGGACTCTAATTCCCCTAATTCCGGACTCTACGCGAATTAGAGTCCGCTCACGAACCAATCAGATTGCGCGATTTAAATTACTTAGCTCTAAGAATATATCGGTTGTTTCATAAATACAAATGGATTTACTGAGTCTTACCTGCTTTCAATTTTTTAAAAGCCTTACGTTATCCAAGATGCTATCGCAAGTCAGAATTTCCGTTTGGTTTCGTTACATTCGATCGTTGTTGACCTAACCGCAGTCACAAGCTGCAAGGTTGACACTTAGTCTTCTGAGCTAGGCGCTTCCCCCAGCTGAAGCTAGCTTATTAAAGGAAGAATTTACTAATTTCAGTCTTTCTGCTCGTGATTGTCCCGAAATAAAACGGAACATGCTCAACGGCAAAGATGTGGTCCATTGAAAATTGCGAAGTGGTGAGGTACGATTCCTAACTCTCTCAAGATTGAATTTTGGCTTGCTTTGCATACCGGCTTCCAATGCAGATGCAGAACATGAATTTATACGCAACATAATTATGTATACTGACACTCGTCCAACCTTGTGCATTCATCACTGTCAAGATGAATGCCGTTCGAATATGGAACTAAGCCTAAAGTCATTTAAACAACTGACTAGGTGTTTAATAACAAACTAATCTTTGTTCTGTCTTCTTTCTTATTGAAACTTGTTAATCACCTTCTCAACCACATTCTCGTTGAATAATTCCACCGTCAATGTTAGGGCATTTACCTCTTGTCATTGTTTGGCGACTGTTTGGTGTTTGTGAGGATGCGGATTACGTGAGATTTGACACATGCCATCCCTATAATTATAGAGCGTCTACCAACCCCTCTAACAATCAGCCTATCTTCAAACATCTTTACACATATCAGAATTAGCTTCTGCCTTGAATTTTCCAAGTCATGTCGCTTACACAGGTGACAGGTCAAATGTTTCGTTAAATAAATTCTGTGCAGCTTGATAGGTTGACCCGGCTGAGTTTTTGCCGATTTCAGGCTCATTTAGGTAGACTGCTGAGCAGCAAGTGCATTGCTAGAGGAGCACCACATTTGTGTAAGTACCAGCTAACTGTATACGATATTCTTCTACAGCATAGAAAACAGGAATCAAATCTACTTTCGGAGGTAAAGAAACACTCTGACAATTAAAATGCTGTAACTCCATTTTGCTCTTCATAGCAAGACATATCAGAGGAAAATGTTGTGTATAGTACAGTACTCTCAAAAGTTTTGCGTCTTATTGAAAGCAAATACTACATAGTGAGCATTTATTGTGTTTTTGCGTGTATTTAGAATCATGTAGAATATTATGGAAGTACAGTGCGGGTCACAACATATAATAATTATATTATAGAGAAATATTCCCGCATTCATACGACTGTGAGCTCGCTTCAGTCACCAAAAAAACACACACTTTCCATTTCACAGGTATGAAGTTTTCTATCACAAAACTCATTGTTCATTTGTTCATGTGCACTTCACTTGTGTATGATTGATAGATTTAGTCAAAAAGAGCAGACAGCACAATATTGTCCTTGCTGTGTCTATGACAAGTGAGCTCATCCAAGACCTTATGACTGGCACACGCTCATCACACATGCTCATTCGTAATGCATGGTGGATACATATCACTGTATAATTTTTGTATACACATCTATGTTGCATCCAACGATTACTCATTCATTCATTCTGCTGCAAAAGCTGTATGTGAAAATTGTTTTATCACCTTCACTACGGTGGTAGTTGGTTGTCTGCCTCGACTGCATACGTGCAAGGCACCGGAAATATACAGGAAAAGGGGTGCACAGTTGTGAGTGACAACCTACAATCTGAATCATAAAATAAAATTAGGCTTGATTGAACAAGTTGGGAAGAGTCGCGCTCGAATCAGCATTGAATTCGCGAGTGATTCAAAGTCACATGGCCGAAAACTTACTGTTATCGTACTCGCGCTTTTGCGATTCCGCATATAATTCAGCGCCGAATTGAATTCCGATTTCTGGTTGTTTAGGGGTTTGATGTCATAGTGTTGACATAGTGATAACCATTACACGAGTTAACAATGTTACGTAAGCCATGAGGCTGGCACCCTCTTTATTACATAATTCAAATTTGTTTGCATACAATATGACAGAGGACATGGCGAAATTCTTCTGAAAGTCTTACCTCCCACTAGTTAGGAACACTTTCTTCAGTTTTTTACAGTTCCCAAACAAGAAACGGTGGTCAAATTGTACCCGCAACACATTATGACTAAAGGGAAAAATTTAATACAGCTTGCAAAAGTGAAAATCATCAAACTGACCACCATCCAATGTCTATTTCTTCTAAATCCTTGCAACTCTTTGCAATTGTAACAATTGTTTCAGGGGAAGCAAACTTGCACCTCCACAAGTCCAGTGACACTAAATTTCTGAAAAAGCAATACAATGCATAACCTTTGCCACTTGTGTATGAGAGTCATAATTTTAAAATGTAAGCTTGCACACACAAGAATACTGAAAAAATGTGTCGGTACACTGCTGGTACGAGTGTTTCTTTCTACAGGCGTGTCCGCACTAGCTTACCGTACGGACAGGATTTAAACAAGGTAAGCTAGTGCGGACCCACCTGTAAAAGAGCGGACATCACAATATTGTCCTTGCTGTGTCTATGACAAGTGAGCTGATCCAAGACCTTATGACTGGCACATGCTCATCACACATGCTCATTCGTAATGCATGGTGGATACATATCACTGTATAATTTTTGTATACACATCTATGTTGCATCCAACGCACGTGCGCATGGCTGCTGAATGGGAGAAGAGGGTGAGTGTGGGGAGATGCAAATATTCAGAGCAATTTTGATACAGGCATATTTTAATATGAGCGAATAGCAGAAAGTATGAAAAGGCTTGGCTATGACAGGACTTGGACCCAATGGAGAAACAAGATTGAAATTAATACGCCATTGTGCACAAAGGTAGCTAATTTTCTTTCACATGATATGGTACATCTGTACCGTTTCAGATCAAGGATGGTAACAGAAGCAGTACAAGCTCAATTATTCTTGATAAAGTCGATGCAATTCTAGGCGGCATCTACTCCCCCAGTGTTGGTTGACACATTGACACTGGGAGAGTAGAAGACGTGGGGGGTTGTGACTGAGATGCCAAATATGAAACAGCAACCTACGTGACGCTAACTTCACCTCAGGTAACAACTAGCTCTTCCCGTAGTAATAGCTATCACAACGTCAATTATTACAGAAAACTGTTGCCAAAAGCAAAGAGAGAACTGCACAGAATAAAGTAACCATCACAAGTAATTTCACTAACTCTATTCCCTGATATGTGCACAAAGGATGATTAGCAGGAAGTCCATGCTTTCTATCACAGTAGTACGTAGATGATCCAACACCGCATCCACTGGTTGGTCATAATGGTTGCAGGAGCTAAGCGAATTTAGGCAAAAGCTAAAGCTGAATGCCAAAAGTAGTCAGTAATTGTACAGAAGCTTGTGTCTGGGGTTGAAGCATCATTAGCGGATGTCTGTACTTTGGCTATTTGTTTTTCATGGTTTTTCCAATTATGATGAAGTTGCTAACCTGCGTGAGTCTGATACTGCAATTTTCAGTATCAAGATGGGGCCAGGGTGGTGATTGCTCACACGTGTTCAGATACAGTCAATATGATGGAGAGGTATATTGAAAAAGGCAATATAGTATTTGACTCGGAAAATTATGGTTGGTTTTATCCAGGGCGGTTATGAGGCTATGTCTGTCAGGAGGCTTAAGTTATACTAGAGTGCGAGAGTTTGTCCTTAAGATGCAGTCAACGATTGGGTTGAGTAAGTCTAAATACAGAATGCACAGAATGCGTTCAGGTGGTGCTACAGCTGTGGCAAATGAGGGAGTTCCAAATAGATGGTTCAAGAGGCTGGAAGATGGAAAATGCAAAAATGGGTATGTTAAAAGGCACTGTAAAAGACAGACTCAGAGTTATACTCGGAATCTAGGCTTGTAAACTGGGGTGTAATACACAGATCTATTTTATTGCTCTTAATTGCTCTTTCGGCTTTCTTTGTTGCCTCTTGCTGGTAGCACGGTCATTCCTGATTGGTAAATGTGTATGGCACATGCGCTAATAATGCATTTTGCATCCAGGCATGAGGTGAAATTGGAGTTTATATTTCCAGGATTATACCTACGTCTAAGAACGTAGTTCCAATACCTAACAATGAAGTACAATGAATGCATGGGTGTACCAAAGGTTATTTTGGTGCTATATTCAACGACCGTACTGCATTTTCCTGCAGCTGGAATTGTCATGAATTTTCATGCAATGTAAGGTCATAGTTAAAATTCTCTAGGTATGAGCCGACTATACCTCCGTCTCCACTACCTATACAGCAAGTCTCAGAAAAGCGAGCACTCTGAGTCTGTAATGATTGTACACTTACAGGGTAGAGCAGTCCCTACAGTTGATCCCTCCCTGTGCATGTCTGATAATTACCGGTAATGGTGTGCAGCAGCTACTACTACGTAGCTGCAAAGCTATTGATATTTTGAGAATCCAGTCCAGTTGCACTATAAAAGAGTTTAAATTCTCATATTGAACTCCGATGTGGTCTCAAAGTCTGACAACGCCTTTGTGGCTCAACCCCTTGTGCATTGAATCTCATACTATACTTGCAATAGTGCTTATATGTAGAGTACTAAAGCTAGTTCTGTGCACTTAATAATGACCAGGGGGGCATACTCATGTAGTATAAGGTGCATTCGAGTACTTGATACACAATCTATCATGACCACACCTTAAAACGTGCACAGCACATGGTCCGTAATATGAGTATTTTATGGGCGATTCACCTGTAAAAGGCAGATGTTGGGGGTAAAAGTGCTTGAGGAGAACACTCTCAAGGACGAACACATTGTTTCCGGGATGATCGGCATTAAAAAGTTGCTCAGGGCTACCTGCCACCATATCTGACTCTATCCAACCAGTTTACGAGCCCCTACACCATGTTTTATGTCACTGGCAGTCACCTTGCCCCCCAGCATGCCTCATAGTATGCATCCTGATATTGCTGTCTTCAAGCAGCTGGTAGTAGGCCACAGTGTCGTCAGCAGCTGAGTCATACAGTATGGCGCCATTCAAAACGTTTTGCATGACCAATATGTAACTGACGGCTCCTTTGATTTTTCCACACAATATACAATAACTAGCACTTAGTGCCAAAAGCAAGAGATGCTACAATCATTGGAAAACGAACCTGGCACTACCGGTAGTTAGAACTTAATAAAGAGACAGGAAAATGATACATAGGACAGCAAGTCACTGCGAGTATCTTAGATATTTGGAGATTAAATAGAAAAAGCAGAGTTTAGTGCTTGTCATGTAACCTTCAGCTAATAACATCCTTAAATGCATGCTGCCTAAGTGTACGTTTAAATGGTTAATGCACTCAAGAGTGGGCATTGACCAACTTTAGACACACATTTTAGAACATTTAAAAAAACATCTTAAAGGGAATCTGACCCGTGCAAACCTGGATAGGTGTGCCATTGTCTTCCGAGTAAGGAATGCAGTTTTTGAGCACGAAAATTGGCATCAAATCTGATTGGCCGAGGTCACATGCAGCACTAAAATTACATTATGCGGTTCTAATTGATGAGCTTGCGTGGACAATCTAGGTTACGTTATGCACGAGCCTAATCCCTCTGCCATCACGCACTAAGACTAAAACTGCATTAATAATTATTACATAACTGAGGAATGGTCTAAATAAGATTACCTACTTAAGATTAGATAAACATCTGTTAAGGTCGTGGTCTTGTACCTGGTTTCCTTCAACAGCAGCTCCAATGTTTAAATGTTCCAGTAATAGGCAGTTGCTATTAGATAAACAGCAGAATTGCCATAGTTATGCTATATCACTAAGTATGGTAGAACTTAGTAGGGATGGGCATGGTACCTAGCATCATAGATGTGTGGAGCTATGATCATTAACCCTCGGCGCGCATGCGCAGCGAGGGTTACAGTAGTTGGGTTTGTCTGTCAGTCAGTCAGTCTGTCTGTTACTCTTCATCTCACTTCTCGAATGTTCTTTCGTCTCACAAAGGATACCACCTACTGAATGGGCAATGAAGGTCAGAAAATTTGTGGGGTTTTCTCTGAAACTGCTCCGTTGCAAAGCTAGAGCGCGAAAAAGCCAATATGCAAATACACAACGGACGGGACGCCCGGCTTACCGCGACCGCGGTCTGATCGATCCGCGTGCTCTGCGTACCTCGGAGGCACCAGAAGATGCAACGCAGGGCGTGTATCGCCTCTCGCATGCTATCTAGTAGTGTAGTTAGCCCGCGTCAGACTCTGCGCGAGCTGGGAAGAGACCACGAGTGACAGATAAAACTAAACCCAGCCCATCAATTAGTGGTACGGCGCATGCGTTTACTTACGCGTGCGCGTCACAGTGCGCCGAGGGTTTGCACTTCAGTGCTTTTCATTAAGTATGGTAGTACTTAGTATACAAGTAAAAATAAATATTTTGCGAAGTGACATATAAGGATGGTATAAAAAGAAAGGTAGAAGAGATAGGGATGGGATACATGAAGCATGGTTAACGAACAGATTTGAGCATGCTGACAACCCCGATGGTGTTAAACTCCATTTGGACTCTATAACGGTGTTGGTTACTCAAATTCAGCTATTTTAATAGTGAATGTTCACCTAGGCAACAATACAGGGATTGTATGATGGGGTCGGGGGTGTCAGCATTTTCATTAACCATGCTTCATGTATCCCATCCCTATGTTGTCTCCCTTTCTTTTTATATCATCCTTTATGACACTCTTTTAAAATCGCAGAATTTGTATTTTACTTGTCTCCAGTCATTTTTATGTACTACTACAATTAGCAGGTTTGAGGAATGAAGAATGAAATGCCTGAAGGTGTTTGCTGTTGTTCACACAATATGTGGTCGTCATGGAAACGCATGCTTATAATCATAGCACGTATAGAGATGAAACTTGGTACGCTTACATATTACATCATTTCCATGACAGCTACATGTTTCCATGACAATTACATGTTTGTAAACAATAACAAATACACTTCATTAAAATTGCTTCTTCACTCCTCTAACTCGCTAACGGTAGCACGCATGGAGAAGAAACTTGGTATGCATGTGTATTACATCGTTTCCATGATGACCACATATTATTTGAATAACAACAAATAGCTTCAGGTATTTACTTTTTCACTCTCCAAACTTCCTAACGAGATGAAACTTGGTACACATGTGTATGACATCGTTTCCTTGACGACAACATATTGTTTAGATAGCTTCGGGCCTTTACTTCTTCACTCTCGAACTTGCGAACCGCAGCACACATGGCTTGGTACACATGCATATTACATTATTTCCATGACGACAACAGGCATTTTTCTCCATTATTAATTTTTATAGGGGGCTTTCATAGAGACATACGTAGTAGTTTGAGACAAGTATAATAAAAATCCTGCGAATTTAAAAGAGACATATAGGGATAGTATAAAAAGAAAGGGAGACAAGATAGGGATGGGATGCATGAAGCATAAAGCCTAGGTAAACATTCAACATTACAATGTCAGGACTTACAGCTTGAAAAAACCAAAAAAAGTCATGCTACTGACTAACCAAGAGCCCAAATGGAGTTAACGAGTGGTACACCAGGCAACATCATAGGGAATGTGTAATGGGGTTGGGGGTGTCAGCGTGCTAAAATCTGTTCATTAACCATCTGAAATCAATCTGTTCATGTATCCCATCCCTATCTGGCCTCCCTTTCCATCCTTAACATGTCTCTTTTTTAAATTCGCAAGATTTTTAATTTACTTGTCGATTTCACTTTTTGAGTTACGGCTCTTCAATCAGAAGAAGACGATGAACAAAACTTCCTATCTCAGAGCCATACCAGAGGAGGTCGGACATGCACAGGGATTGCCTGAATGAAATTTATGCTGACACAGCATTTTCTTTCCGGTAAAGAATGTATGGGGAGATAAAACAGCATGCTGCAAGCGGGATTCGGAGAGGATTTGCAACTGACGCGACGTAATGTTTAAGAAAGATACTTAAAATCCTATTCTCCCCAGCGATCCCCCACCGCTCGGCAAGTTATAGTGAAGAATACTAATAACTCCGTCACAGTCACAGCGTGAGCCCATAGAGCCAAGCTAAATGCACAGTACATTACTTTGATCCTTTCTACAACTCTGTGTGGTTTGAAGTGAATTCTCCATCTGTGTTGTCAACAAACTAAGCATAGGTCGAGCATGTCGTTGAATGTCGTGCATTCCTCAACACGCTAATTGGAATTCTTGTACAATTCACGTGACCGTGTCCGACCTCCTCTGGGGCCATACATCTATGATGCGCCCATCCTAAGTTACTTAGGATGGGCATGGTGTTGTTTATCTTCTTCTCCTTCTTAGTGCATAGCTGGTTTAAATAAAGTAATCTGATTGGTCCATACGAGGTCATTGATTTCCTGTATGACAATGAAAAATCCATGAAGTGCAAACCATCGGCGAACTGCGCATGTGTGTTACCGCTAATTGATGGGCTGGGCTATTAGTACGCATGTACTCGTTGTCTCAACGCTAGTATAGCTTGTGGAGAGTCTGACACGGGCTAGCTACAGCAGTAGATAATATGCGGAAGTCGATAGACGCCCTTCGCTGTGACTTTTTGTCCCTTCAAGATACACCGAGCAAGCGGACCCGCTTGAGGTAAGCCTGTTCGAATTCTTTTTCGCTCGTGTTGCATGCCGTAACTCAAAGTGAGATGGCTGAAAAGCTCGCGTCACATCGTAACTCCCGAACGCAACAGAAAAAAACCTCATATTTTGGGGGAGTGATTGATTGCTCGTGAAGTGAGATAGGACAGACAGACAGACAGACAGACACATGACAACTACTGTAACCCTCGCTGCGCATGAGCGCCTAGGGTTAATGACAAGATCACGTACAACATCTACAGCAAGTCGGCGAAGGACTTGCAAGTAGTGTCGCTAGCCAGACTCTCTGGGGGGGGGGGGGGGGGGGGGGGGGGGCTGGGGGTGGGGGTGTGTGGGTGGGGGGGGGGTTTTTTTTGTTTGTTGTGTATGTTGTGATTTTTTTTGTTTTTTTTTTCTTTTTGTTGTTTTGCTTTGTTTGTTTTTTCTTTTGTTTTTTTTTTTTTTGGTTTGTTTTGTTTTTTTTTTTATATTGTTTTTTTTTTTTTTCTTTTCTTTTTTTTTTTTTTATTTTCTTTTTTGTTTTGGGTTTTTTTTTTTTTTTTTGGGGTGGTATTGGTTGGGTTTGCTTTGTGGGTTTGTTTGTTGTTTGTTTTTTGTTGGCTGGTTTTTTGTTTGTGGATTTTCTTTGGTTTTTATTTTTGGTTTCTTTTGTTTGTTTTTTTTTCTTTTTCCGCATGTTGTTTTTTCTGTTTTTTTATTTTGTAGTTTTGTGTGCGTTTGTGGCTTTGTGTGGGGGGTGTGTTGCGTGGATTGTTTGGCTGCGTGTTGCGGGGTGTGGGTTGCTCCGTGTTGGGGTGGGGGGGGTTGGGCTTTTGTTTGTTGTCTTTTTATGGTTTGTTTGTGTTTTGGTTTGTGTTGTGGTTTGTGTTTTTGGTTTTTTGTTTTTTTTTTTTTTTTATATTATTTTTTGTTTTGTTTTTTTGTTGTTTTTTTTTGCTGTTGTTTTTTTGTTCTTGTTCATTTTGGTTTTTTTTTTTTTTTCTTTTTTTTGTTTTTTCTTCTTTTTTTTTTTTTTTTTTTTTTTTTTTTTTTTTTCTTTTTTTTTTTTTTTCATTTTTTTTTTTTTTTTTTTTTTTTTTTTTGTTTGGTTCGTTTGGTTTTGTTTGTTTTGTTTGTTGTGTTGTTTGTTTGTGTTGTGTGTCGACTGTTTTTTTCTGTTCGGTTTTTTTCTGTTTTGTTTTTTTATTTTCTTTTGGTTTTTTTCGTTTTTTTTATTTTTTTTTTTTTGTCTTTATTTTATTTTTTTTTTTTTTTTTCTTTCTCTTTCTTTCTTTTTTAATTTTGTTTCTTTTTTTTCTTTGTATTTTTTTTTTTTTTTTGTTCCCTTTTTTATTTTTTTTTTTTTTTTTTTTTTTTTTTTTCTTTTTTATTTTTTTGTTTTTTTTTTTTTTTCTTTGTTTTTTTTGTTCTGTCCGCTCCTTCCTAATCTCTTCCCTTGTCCCTCTCTTCTTACGGCGCTTTGTGAAAAGGACATGGTTGCGTTTGTCTCTAAGATAGAAATGGTTGCGTTTTCTCCTTCCTGAGAGCATGGCCTCGGCACACTTCCTGTGTCAGACTCAAGCTATGGTGATGTACACATGCATAGGGGTGAAATAGTTGTGATTGTTAGGTTTTTAGGGGGGGGCGTGTGCGGTGGCTGTGGGTTGCGAAGAGAGTAGGCTGGTGATGAAGCTGGAGTGGTAGCCGTGGGGAGGACTCATGATATGAATGGAAAGGGCGGCACGCGGTAGAGGGGGGTGTGGTGGAGGTCGGAGGATCGGTCCTGAGTGTATAAGTAGGGAAATAAGAGAGGATTATGGGGATGTTAGTTGTGTCGTGGATGATGGGAAGGACGGTTTAACGGGGATAACGTTTAGTTGTTAGGGGGTGTTAAGGTGGAGCTTACTGAGTGGGGGGGGGGGATGTGAGTGGTGAATTTGTGATTGTATATGTTGTATTGGGGAGAGGTGTGGGGTGATGGGTAGGATGGTGGAATGATAGAATTAAAAGTGGATCTTAAAGAGGTGGGTGGGGACCATAGTTCGAGTTAGAGCTTACTTAGTTCGTAGGGAGGGATTGTGGCGTCGATGGGATATGTTCGGGTGCAGCTAGGTGGAGTACCGTAGACGTATTCTACTATCCGGGGTGGGAGGGGGAGAACAGGTGCCGGGTTGACGGTGCTTTGGGTTTGAGTTGGGCGGATATTAACGGGGTTTGTGTATTGTGGTTTGTCTAGTTGAGAGATGTGTTGATGTTTACTAGTGGGGGGGGTGGGTGAGGGAGGTTTGGGTGGTAGGGTATGTGTTGGGTGGTTGATCAAAGCGGGTGAGTAGTCTGACCCTCTAAGCACAAAAAAAAAAAAAAAAAAAAAAACAAAACAAAAGGAAAGTATTCCACAGTGTTTGATTTAAGGCTTAAAAGGGGCCTACTTTCTTTTCTCAGAGCCTACGGTTGAAAATCTCCTGGTCTTTCCATGTCTGCTTATCTGGTAAAAAAACCACCACAAAAGAGGTGTGGTCCCCTGGGGCTTTACTGACAGCAATAATGGGCCCTAATATGGAGACAAAATATGTGGATAAGCTGCACAGGGGCCCCCCCCGCCTGGCAGCACCTGTCGAATTGTCTTGATCCATGATCCAGTTTGGCTAGTTATGGTTCTGTTGCATAACGCCACAAGCTCTAACCCTCCATTGCAACCCTGCATATAAACCCCCCTTTGCTTGAGGAACTGTGTCAATATGTCTTGTA